CCTTCCCCCGGACCTTCCCCCAGACCCTCCCCCAGGACCTTCCCCCGGACCTTCCCCAGGACCTTCCCCTGGACCTTCCCCTGGACCTTCCCCTGGACCTTCCCCTGGACCTTCCCCCGGACCTTCCCCCGGACCTTCCCCAGGACCTTCCCCTGGACCTTTCCCTGGACCTTCCCTCGGACCTTCCCCCGGACCTTCCCCTGGACCTTCCCCTGGACCTTCCCCTGGACCTTCCCCCGGACCTTCCCTCGGACCTTCCCCCGGACCTTCCCCCGGACCTTCCCCCGGACCTTCCCCTGGACCTTCCCTCGGACCTTCCCCTGGACCTTCCCCTGGACCTTCCCTCGGACCTTCCCCCGGACCTTCCCCCGGACCCTCCCCAGGACCTTCCCCTGGACCTTCCCCTGGACCTTCCCCCGGACCCTCCCCCGGACCTTCCCCAGGACCCTCCCCCGGACCTTCCCCAGGACCTTCCCCTGGACCTTCCCCCAGACCTTCCCCCAGGACCTTCCCCCGGACCTTCCCCCAGACCCTCCCCAGGACCTTCCTCTGGACCTTCCCCCAGGACCTTCCCCTGGACCTTCCCCCGGACCTTCCCCCAGACCCTCCCCCAGGACCTTCCCCCGGACCTTCCCCAGGACCTTCCCCTGGACCTTCCCCTGGACCTTCCCCCAGGACCTCCCCAAAGACCATGTCACCCCAGAACCGGAGCCACAGTCACAGGAGGCTGTGGGGCCAGTGGTTGGTGAAATGGCAGAACCACAGGCCTGGGAGGCACAGCGCTCTGGTACAACCACAGTAAAAGGCAGAGCTGCGGGCAGGGCTCAGGTGTTGAGCGTCCACCTAGGAACCAGGGGATGAGGGTTCGACTCCCGGTCAGGGCACAGTGAAGGGCACGCAGGAGGCAGCCGGTCCATGACTCTCATCACTGATGTTTCTATCTCTCTCCCTTCCTCTCTGACATCCATAAAAATCTATTTTAAGAAGTAAATAAAAAGCAAAGAAATGATACTGTGATGATTTTTAAAGTGGGGAAAATATCGAGTGGGACGTACACAAAGAACTTCAACACCGAAGGCTCAGCAGGAGCCGTGTCCTGGGTTCCTGCTGGGGCCCGTGCAGGGGAGCCCCGTGCCCTCCTGGGGCTGATGTCTGCTCAGTATCCGGGGTTATTTGCCGTCAAAATGTTCCTCTTGGCCTCATTTATTTCCTGCGTGATCACCTCAGTACAGAGAAAGACATTAAGGCAACGAGGGAAACTCAGTGAAATAGTCCGGCCGGCGTGGCTCGGGTCAGGGTTCGATTCCGGGTCCGGGCACAGGCCCGGGTTGCAGGCTGGATCCCCGTGCGGGGCGTGCAGGGGGCAGCGGATCCGTGACTCTCAGCGTTGATGTCTTCCTCTCCCTCTCCCCTCCTCTCTGAGGTCCATAAAGCACATTGGAAAGGTGCAGGCCCTGGTGGGAGGGCTGGGGGATTCCTCCAGCCCCCGAGTCCACTCAGGCCGCCCAGAGCCCAGCCCACCTGCCTCCCGGGCTCGCTCTGGCCCCGAGGACACGGGCAGGGCCGAGCGGGCACCCGGGCTAGCAGGGGGCAAAGGGCTGCCTCCGCTGCCCCAGCCTCTGCACAGAGTGTCGTGGTCCCCCCGCCCCAGCACTGCCGTGGTGACTGCAGGTATGTGTGTGTATGTCTGCATGTATGTATTTAGTGAGTTAATGAATCTTCACCTGAGGATATTATCCTCCCCCCAGCACTGCCATGGTGACTGCAGGTATGCGTGTGTGTATGTATGCATGTATGCATGCATGTATGTATTTAGTGAGTTAATGAATCCTCACCTGAGGATATATCCTCCCCCCAGCACTGCCGAGGTGACTGCAGGTATGTGTGTGTATGTATGCGTGTATGCATGCATGTGTGTATTTAGTGAGTTAGTGAGTGAATCCTCACCTGAGGATATATCCTTCCCCTCTTTGATTTTTGGAGGGAGTGGGAGGGAGGGGAGAGTCAGAGAAACATCCACGTGAGAGAGACACGTCGGTTGGTTTGTCTCCCCTGAACCCCGAGAGGTGCGGGGCACCCAGCCTGCACCCAGGCACGTGCTGCAGAATAGGACCAAACCCATGACCCTTCTGTCAGAGGCTGGTGCTCTAACCACTGAGCAAACTGGCCAGGGCTGGATTTTAAAGTGATTTATGGCTTATATGTGTACGGCGTTTTCATCAGTTTTTAGATTAAAAAAACAACAACTTGAACCTTGAAAGAATTCCAAAAAAAAGTTTGATTTTAAAGGCCCACGCTGGACACAACGAAACGCAGCAGCAGCAGCAGCAGCTGTGTCACGGGTTCGAGTGTGCGCACTGGTGTGCAGCTGAGCCACAGTGTGCTGTGACCTGGCTTTGCTGAGGGGCGTGGGCCGCGCTCGGGCTCCCCGCAGGACACGGCCGTGAATGAGCGGCCGCTCCGGGGCTTGGACTTGTCTATAAATATCAGCGCGTTTCCCCCGGCAAATCAGTTTCCAACCTGGACCTGCTGGTCTATTTAAAGAAATGGTTGTTGCCAAGACTGGTGTGGCTCAGTGGATAGAGCCTTGGCCTGCGGACTGAAGGGACCCAGGTTCGATTCCGGTCAAGGGCATGTACCTTGGTTGCGGGCACATCCCCAGTGGAGGGTGTGCAAGAGGCAGCTGATGGATGTTTCTCTCTCATCGATGTTTCTAACTCTCTATCCCTCTCTCTTCCTCTCAGTGAAAAATCAATAAAATATATTTTTTAAAAATGAAAAAGTAACTTCTGTATACATTGCTTTAAAAAAAAGAAAGAAAGAAAGAAATGATTGTTGACTCCAACTTTAAACAACGTAAGCTTACAAAAGGTAAAGTGTATGGAGTAATTAGTACCAGTTGGCCTCACAGTGTTTTGTCAGTGGGGTTACTGACTTTTAAATAAAATTTGGGATTAAAATAATTCGTGTAATGAGTTTTGCCTTTTGTGTTTATCATGTATTTTAAATGTTTACTTAGCAATTTAAAACATGCAGCTGGCTTTAAATTTAGAGTGATAATGTTTCAATAAATTAGGAACCACACTGAGTGGCCAGATGATGATGATCTCTGAACGCATAATAATCTGGCCACTCAGTGCATATCCTATAGAATAAAAGGCTAATATGCAAACTGTCCCCTCGACCAGGAGTTGGACCAGCAGGCAGGCTGGCCAACTGCCCATGTCCCCTCCCCCTAGCCAGACCCCACCCATGCACAGATTCATGCACCGGGCCTGCATAAATATAAATATAAAATATATATATATATACACACACACACACATATATATATATAAATATGTAAATATATATATATATGTATGTATCTATACACTGAGTAGCCAGATTATTATGCATTCAGAGATCATAATAATCTGGCCACTCAGTGTGTATATATTGTTTTATTGATAACATGTAAATATTCTTTTATATTTTTTTTAGCATTACTACACTTACTACATAGCAAATGAATTTATAAGTCTTTCTAACAATATTTATAATTTATTATAATGGATCTTTTAGGAAGGATCCATTGCCTCGGATCCTTTAGAAAGACAAAAGCAAATATATATATATATTGGTGTTTAATAAAGAAACTCAAAGCAGGTGTTAAAAAAATCACTCTGACTTTCCCCTCACACGATGAGACTGCGTTTTCTTTTCACATCAGTTTTAGTTCTTCCCAGGCTTTGAAGATGTTGAGCACCACTCCTCTGCATGCAGTGTGCCTTTTATTTTCTAGCCGCTTTTAATATTTCCTCTTTCTCCCAATTTAAGCAGTTTGATTTTGATGTGTGTGTTGTTTTCTTGTTTCTTGTATTTGGGGTTGTTAAACTTCTTGAATCCTTGGGTTTGTTTTTGGAGAATTGTCAGCTTTCCCCCCCCCCCCCAAAAAAAATTTTTTTTTCTGCTCCTGTTCTCTCTCTCTTTGCCTTCAGAGACTATTTGACAAGTTGATGTTTTCCCACAATTTAGTGGTCCTCCCTCCCTCCCTCCCTCCCTCCCTCCCTCCCTCCCTCCTTCTCTCCCTTCTTTTCTCCCTCCCTCCCCTCCATCTCTTCCATTTTAGGTGGCGAGTGCTGTCTGTCTGCAGTCTCACCGCTCTTCTCTTGCAGTGACTTACCTGCCATTAGTCCCATCCGGGGTGTTTTGCCCCGCGCTGTGGTTTTCAGCCCCGGAAGCTGGGGTTGGTTGCTTTTATATCTCGTCTCCGCCTCTGACTACCTGCTCGCTCTGTGCCGGCTTCTTGAGCAGATGGAGTGTCTCCGAACGCCCGCGGCTGTCGCTACTGTTACTGCGTCCTTCTTCTGGATCAGTTCTGATGGATTTTTTTTCTTCTTCTCTGCATGCCTGATTTTTTTTTTTAGTTGCCAGAAATTGTGGATTTTATCATGTTGGGTATTGCCTATTTTTACAGTTTTTAAAATATTTTTGAACAAAATTTTGGGGTATAGCGAAGTTCCTTGGAAAAGGTTTAACTTGGGGGCCCTGTTTTTAAGATTTGTTAAGTATCATTTTTAGCTTTCATTTTTTTTCTGCGTGTGACATGAGGCAGCTGCTAGTCGATCCAGTTGGTGTCCCTCCCTCGCTGCTGGCTCAGTGTGAGCAGCCGGCCCTGTTCTCCGTGGGCTCTCCGTGGCCGGTGCCCAGCTTTGGTCTGCTTATTAGATTTTCCCCTCCAATTTGCAAATAAATATAATTGGTGACAGATGCGCTGTAGGAAAAAAAATAAAGAAAATGTAGGTATTCTGGAGGAATCTTACCTGCTGGGCCACCATACATTTGAGTACTGATGTTTGGTCTTACCCAGTGTCCTTTGGGAGACGGTCTGTAAATATTTTAAAAGCGTTAAATGCATTTGCTTAAAAGCATTTGGTCAGCACGTCTTCACTGACTCTTAATATCTTGTCTTTACAGGTACACCGTGTGCCGGAGTGAGCTCTCCGCTGGCCCTCACCATGAACCGCGCCTTTAGCAGGAAGAAAGGTGAGTGTGTCCACGGAGGCTCGGGGTCAGTTCCGTGTTAATCCCATGGCTGCAGGTGCCTCTCGACCGGGGACACTAGGAAATTATTTTCTTGGTAAGGGTAGGGCTGAGAGACATTGAATATGGCCTGTAGCTTGCTTTTGATTTAAAACATACACCAACAGTAAAATAATGTTTCTCTCTTATTTCCTTTACTAGTAAAACAATATCTACAAAGAATTCTGTGGTGCCGGGACCGGTTTGGCTCAATGGATAGAGCGTCAGCTTGGGGACTGAAGGGTCCTGGGTTCGATTCTGGTCAAGGGCATGTACCTTGGTTGCGGGCACATCCCCAGTAGGGGGTGTGCAAGAGGCAGCTGATCGATGACTCTCTCTCATCGATGTTTCTAGCTTTCTATCTCTCTCCCTTCCTCTCTACAAAATCAACAAAATATATTTTAAAAAAAACAAAAACAAAAACAAAACAAACAAAAAAAACAAATAATTCTGTGGTAATACAGTAATAAAACCTTATCTCTCAGTTCATTACTCTAATCACGGTATCTTAAACAAAACGAAGGTCCTGGACCTTCTCTGTTTGCTTGTAATCCTCTTTCCCGAGGCTTTGTTTACCTCTTTATTTTAAATATATTTTTTATTGATGTCAGAGAGGAAGGGAGAGGAGGAGGAAGATAGACACATTGATGGTGAGAGAGAATCCTCCATGGGCTGCCTCCTGCACGCCCCCCGCTGGGATGGAGCCCGCCACCCGGGCCTTGCACATTCTGCCTCATTTGAAGGCCGTGGGAACATACGGCCACAGGAACTCTGGTGTGATGCAGAGCGTCCTGAGCTGAAATCCTTCCTCCCTTCTTCGTCTCATTCTCCCTACGCTTCCTTCCAGTCCTCTGCTGCCAGGCCTCGGGGTTAATGCAGGCGGTGCTGACCAGTGTGTCCTCTGGTGCCAGTGGGCCCCGGTGCGGCTGGGGTCCCTTCACACTGGACTGTCTCTCTGTTAGAGGAAATCTCTCCCAGTCCCGCCCCAGTCTCACCAGACCGCAGTGAGCTGGATTGGAGTTTGAGTGGAAAACTGGAATTGTGCGAGGGAAGCCATAGTATGTGCTGACCATTGGGAGCTGAGGGACAGCCCTAGAGAATACATCTGTCCATCTGTCCGAAGACTAGCGCCAGCACACAGTGTGTCTCTTTTCCATGAATAGTGCCAGCACTCAGTGTGTCTGTCCGATGACCAGCCCCAGCACGCAGTGTGTCTGAGGAGTAGCACCAGCACACAGTGTCTCTGTCTGATGACCAGCCCTAGCACACAATGTGTCTGTGATGACCAGCACCAGCACGCAGTGTGTCTGTGATGACCAGCACCGGCACGCAGTGTGTCTGAGGAGTAGCACCAGCACAGCCAGGCGGTCCTGAGGCTGGAGCTCCCCGCACGGCTCACACTGTCAGCCCCCGCCGCAGCCTGGCCGGGTCACCTCGTGCCGCTCTGAAGCTGGGGAAGCCTGCTGCCCTGACCCCCACATCCTGCTTTCCTCTCGAACCCATCACCCGCTGGGGGCTGGCTGCCTGGGTGGGCGAGCTGGTGCTGGGCTGCTCATGGTGCTGAGAGCGAGGGCGTCCTTCCCACAGTCATTCATTGTTCGCATCACTGATTACATTTTAACAAAAGTTTTTGTTTATAACGCCTCTTCTCCCGTTAGCTTCCTACCTGAATCTTTAAAATAAAATTTTATTACACAAAAATGAGTAATAAAAATACATAAATATAGCATGTGAACAAATGTGATTAAATAATTACTAATTACACTTTATTTCCCTTAACACTTACCATACTGGTTACAGTCATAGTACACACACTTAGAACTCAGCAGTTAAGTATTATTTCTCTTATGATCCACTCATATGCATCATTTCAGCCAACATTTGTTTTGACTAAACGTTAACATTTTTTGTTGTTGCTCACTTATGCATCCCGCAAAATATTTGGGCTGCTACGTGGAATATATAAAGTTTAAAAATGGAACGAAAAGTATGTTTTATATTTCTATCAAGAATATACAATCCAAATTAGTTTCAGCATCTCCTATCCTTTTAGCTACTTTTATTTCTAATATTCTGTTGCTCTAATCTAAAACATTTCAAATCAAGATTGTCACAATTAACCTTTCTGCAAGCTTAGATTAAAAATGCATCCTAATGTTATATTGATTTCTAAATGGACCCAGTGGGTAGACTTATTTCTGTTTTATATAAATGCAGTTATTAATTAATATTAAAATCCCCCCTTTTTTAAAATATATTTTATTGATTTTGTACAGAGAGGAAGGGAGAGAGATAGAGAGTTAGAAACATCGATGAGAGAGAGTCATCGATCAGCTGCCTCTTCCACACCCCCTACTGGGGATGTGCCCGCAACCAAGGTACATGCCCTTGACTGGAATCGAACCTGGGACCCTTCAGTCCCCAAGCCGACGCTCTATCCACTGAGCCACACCGGTTTCGGCTAAAATTCCCCCCTTTTTAAATTGTTCATTCTTTGCTAAATAGTGAGTGGAGAGAAAATGACTTTTTTTTTTTTTATTGGGGAATTAAGAAACATCCCCTGTAATTTATGAGAGTAAAATGAGAGCGTTATCGCCAAATTAATCACATAATTGGCGTAATTACAGCCCGGGGGCGCCGTCACATTGGCTGGTTTGAAACCCTTAGAGAGAAGCGGGACCTTTTGATCAGAAAGGGGGTGTGACTCTCCCGCTGCCTTGTCTTCCCTCCGCCCTGGGAGGTGCTCCCCCCCTCAGATCCCCCCCCCCCACACACACACGCACACACACGCGCACAGGCACACACACACACACACGCACACACGCACACACACGCACACAGGCACACACACGCACACACACGCACACAGGCACACACACACGCACACACACGCACACAGGCACACACGCACACGCGCACACACATGCACACAGACACACACGCACACACACGCGCGCACACACACACACTCGCACACACACACACGCGCACACACACGCACACACACGCACACGCACACACACGCACACACGCACACGTGCTGATGGGGACCGGCGCCCTCAGCACCCGGGAGGGAGCTAACCTGTGTGTTCTTCTTTGCAGACAAAACATGGATGCACACGCCAGAAGCTCTATCCAAACACTACATCCCCTACAACGCCAAGGTAAGTGGTTCCTGTTCTGTCCCCGCTTGGCTTGTGCGTTTATGACCTTAGCTGTCCCTGGTTGACCCTCGAGTGTGGGTATGCATTGGCATTTCCGGGCACATGACCCCGAGGAAAGTCTGCTAAATAAAGTCACTCTGTGGGACACGGTATAGGAAAGCTCTTTTCCTCAAATAAGGGATTTTTAAAGAGGTGCCCTTTGCATTTCTCTGTTTATGGTATGCCTGCGCTGCCTTTGAATGATTTGGGTTATTGCTAAAGTGATTTGCCGAATCAGGGCCTGCAGGAAATAAAATAACCCACAAATTGGTGTCCTTTAAACATCATAATGTTGCGTTACTCAGAAAAATGTAAAAACTAACCCGGACTGAGGGAAATGAGCCGCAGTGTTAATGAAGGTAATTTTTCATGCCGGGAAGGGAACACACAGAGCTTCAACCATTAAGGGGGAGAAAAAGTCATTTTTTGGGTGAAGCTTTTGCTCGGTTGCTGCGTTTTAATAAATAGAAAAAACCTATACTCCGTGTCTTCAAAGATTCGGTTCATGTTGTTGGAAAATTGGCAGAGTGAATGCAGTGAACGAAATGGTCTTTAAAGAAAGGTGTGACTGCCCGGCCGGTGTGGCTCGGTGGTGAGCATCAGCTTGTGAACCAGGAGGTTGCCGGTTCGATTCCTGGTCAGGGCACGTGCCCGGGTTGAGGGCTGGAGGGCTTGCTCCCCGGTAGGAGGTGTGCAGGGGGGGGCAGCCGATCAATGATTCTCTCTCATTGAGGTCTCTCTCCTCTCTCTATCCCTCTCCCTTCTGCTCTCTCTAAAAATGGATAAAAACATATGTATACTTTTTTTAAAAAGGTATTGTTTTGGCGTTAGTGAGCACCAAACCTGAAGTAGACGTCAGAGACATCCGTTTGGCAGGGACGGGAATGAGTGAAGAGTGAGTTTGGGAGAGTGAGGGTGTCAGGCTGAGGGACTCCCCCGGGGAGGCGGAGCGGGGAGAACTGAAAGCGATGAAATAGTTTCACGGGAGAATTGGAGAGTTTGCCGGTCAGCAGGCCGTGTGCTGGGCACGGGGCATTATTTCAGGAAAAGCGTTTTTAAAAATTCATGGGACAGAAAGTCGATGGGGCCTAATGGGGCCGCTCCGGAGGGCCGGCCGCGTCTGAGTCAGCAGAGGACCGCGTCCCAGGCGCCCGGACGCCCCCAGTCCCCAACGGGGGACGTGCAGAGAGCAGCTGTGGCTTTCTGCTGACTTTGCAGGAAAAAGAAAAAAAAGCTTTACTATATTTTCTCTGTTCCTAACCCGTTTGGCTCAGTGGATAGAGCGTCGGCCTACGGACTAAATGGCCCCAGGTTCGACTCCAGTCAAGGGCATGTGCCTTGGTTGCGGGCACATCCCCAGTAGGAAATGTGCAAGAGGCAGCTGATGGATGTTTCTCTCTCATCGATGTTTCTGACTCTCTATCCCTCTCTTCTCTTAACTCTCTATCCCTCTCCCTTCCTCTCTGTAAAAAATCAGTAAAATATATATTAAAAAAAACATTTTCTCTGTAAAACCACTGCACTTGAAATCCTGTCCCGCTCTGAATGGCTCCGTGTGTTCACGTGGGGGTCAGATTTCCGTGCCATGACTGAGCACGGAAAGCTGAGGGACCTGACGGGGGAAACTGAGGTGGCAGGACCCTCCTCCCCACAGACGGTCCCTCAGCCCGTGAGGAACTGTAAGAAAACCACAGGAAACAATCTAAAAACCACCCCGTGGAGAGGGGCATGCTCTGTTTGTGTGACACCATTACTGATGGTGGTAGACTTCCTTCCTTCAAGGGAAAGTAACCACGGATTATACGTTTTTATAAAAGATTCAAAGGTCTCATGTTGAAAAAGGTGTTTCTATAGGGCTGAAAGGTTTCAATGAGAACTTCCTTTTAAAATATATATATTTTGCCAAAACCGGTTTGGCTCAGTGGATAGAGCATCGGCCTGCCAACTGAGAGGTCCCAGGTTCGATTCCAGTCAAGGGCATGTACCATGGTTGAGGGCACATCCCCAGTAGGGGGTGTGCAGGAGGCAGCTGGTCGATGTTTCTAGCTCTCTGTCCCTCTCTCTTCCTGTCAGTGAAAAATCAATAAAATATATTTTAAAAAATTATATATATATATATATATATATATATATATATATATATATATATATATTATTGATTCCAGAGAGGAAGGGAAAGGGATAGAGAGATACAAGCATCAGTGATGAGAGAGAACCATGGATCGGCTGCCTCCTGCATGCCCCCTACTGAGCCCACAACCCAGGCATGGGAACCGAACCTGGGACCCTTCAGTCTGCAGCTGGCGCTCTATCCACTGAGCCACACCGGCCAGGCCCGTTAGAACTACCCTTAACGTGAACGCTGGGTCTCTGGGACCGTGGAGACCTGCTGGCCCAGCAGAAGCTGCCGGAGCTGACAGGAGAAGCACGGGGCGCCGACGGGACCCTCGTGGTCGGGGAGGAGCTAACGAGGGAGCGCGGTCCGTCGTGTGGCCTCGTGGGTCCCGGCGGGAGAAGGGAGCCATCACACCACGTGGACTCAGGTGCAGGGGAGCCCACGCTGGCTGCGGGCGGTTTGGGGCTGGGGAATGAAGAGCTGCCGCCGCCGGCCAGCGGGAGGGCGCGGAGATGGCCTGCCGGCAAGCCCGTCCCCGGAGGACAGGCGATGGGCAGAGCGCGGCGGCCCCAGGCATGACAGACGGACGCGCCCGGGCGCTGCGCCTCTCGGACGGTGAATTAACCCCCAGAGCTCAGCAGCAGCAGAGCCAGTATTTAAACACGAGCCTCCATGGGTTTGCAGATTCTCCGTAAGCACGGTCTCACGCTGCAGGGTAAAGTTTCACCTCATCATTCGGTAAGTATCTGATTTGTCAGAACTGAGGAAAAATAAAGCCCGTTGCCCTAGCTGGTGTTGCTCAGTGGGCAGAGCGTCGGCCTGCGGACTGAAGGGTCCCAGGTTCGATTCCCAGTCAGGGCATGTGGCTGGGTGGTGGGCTCAGTCCCCAGTAGGGGCATGTAGGAGGCAGCCAGTCAATGATTCTCTCTCATCACTGATGTTTTTATTTCTCTCTTCTTCCTTCTTCTGCTAATCAATAAAAATATATTAAAAATAGACATATATCCTGGGACCAAGAGGAGATTAGTGTTAAAAAAAAAAAAAAAAAAGAGAATAGACAAAAATAAATCCTGTTGCCCTATGCCATCTGGGCTCAGTGGATAGAGCATCGGCCTGCAGATCCAAGTGTCGGGTTCGATTGTGGTCAAGGGCACATACCTCAGTTGCAGGCTCCTCCCCAGCCTGGGCCCTGGCCCGGGCATGTGCAGGAGGCGACCAATCCACGTGTCTCTCTCACATCGATGTTTCTCTCGGTCTCGCCCTCTCTCTCCCACTCTAAAGTCAAGGGAAAATCTCCTAGCCCCGGGGCCGGCAAACTCATCGGCCCACAGAGCCAAATACCAACAGCACAACGATGGACATTGCTTTGGAGAGCCACGTTTTTTAAACTTAAACTTCTTCTACTGCCACTTCTTCAGCATAGACTCACCCAGGCCGTGGTGTTTTGTGGAAGAGCCCACCCTCCAGGGGCCAAAGAGCCGCATGGGGCTGGAGAGCCGCGGTTTGCCGACCACGGCCCTGGTGGTCAATCAGTCAATCCAGCCCCCCTCCAGTGCTCGCCTGCGGTTGTGTCCTGTCCTGCACTTGCTGTGGGGGAGAAGCGCTCCCCTGGCTTTCCCCCTCTCCCCCCCTCTCCCACCCCCCCCTGCACAAAGCTCAGTGCCCAGGAGAGGCCCCCTGAGCTGCTCCTCCTCCAGGCGGGCAGGAGCCAGCAGGACGGTGTGGAGCTGGGGCTGGGGCAGGAGAGGGACAGCTTGGGCTCAGCACACCTGCCCTCCGCCCCCCACTGCCCTGCCCGCCCTCTCCCAGGTGCCCGGCCTGCGGAGACTCAGCGCTAAAGGGCAGCCGCTCACAGGGCAGGGCGCTCCCAGGTGTGGGCAGGGTCCTCGGAGGCGGGGGTGGGGGCGGCGGGGTCCCTGGAGGCGGGGGTGGGGGCGGCGGGGTCCCTGGAGGCGGGGGTGGGGGCGGCGGGGTCCCTGGAGGCGGGGGTGGGGGCGGCGGGGTCCCTGGAGGCGGGGGTGGGGGCGGCGGGGTCCCTGGAGGCGGGGGTGGGGGCGGCGGGGTCCCTGGAGGCGGGGTGGGGAAGGGGAGCTGAGGAACCCGTGCTCTGGGGGAAGGAGGCCACGGCCAGGCTGCCACACCAGCGTACCTGCGCTCCTGCTGTGCTGCGATGTGGGCACCTCCCTCTGAGCCCGAGTGAGAGCCCGGGGCCTCCTCGCCCACAGTCACCGTCCCTGCCTGTCAGGTCCTCGCCTGCTTTTCAGGGAAAACAGTGGTTTCAGGATTGAGTCGGTGCATGTATTTCCCATCACGCCCGCTAGACAAGGAGTTGCCATGGCCTGCCACAACATGCTTAACCAAGAAATGGCTTAAAAAGCTGGCAGCTTAGCCAAAACCGGTGTGGCTCCGTGGATAGAGCGCCGGCCTGCGGACTGAAAGGTCCTGGGTTCGATTCCGGTCAAGGGCATGTACATTGGTTGCGGGCACATCCCCAGTGGGGGGTGTGCAGGAGGCAGCTGGTCGATGTTTCTCTCTCATCAATGTTTCTAGCTCTCTGTCCCTCTCCCTTCCTCTCTGTAAAAAATTAATAAAATGTATTTTTAAAAAAGTAAGTAGCTTACTTGAAGCCAGTCCTGTTTATAAAGAGGTGTGCGTGGGGTAAAGCTTCCCTCCAGGTGTGCTGTGGTGTGAAAATAGCGCCTGATGTGTTAATTAGAGGTAGGAGGGGAAATAAGAGCGGGTGCAGTTCTTTTTCAGAAAACGAATATGCGGCAGCACCATCCTGTGTGCGCGAAGGGAAGTTTTTATGTGACTTGGACTTAGCTCCACTAATCGGGTCCTTAAG